TCATTCATTTATTTGAATCTCTTCACCATTCTACAATTAATTATGGGATGTGGGATTACAAGAACATATCGGTGATTAATACAAAATAATAGATAAATATGGCAGGCGTGAAAAATAAAATGCAAAATTTAGTGTGTTGCTATAAATGTGAAAAAAATTGGAATTCTAGGCCGGGGAGCACAGTTAATTGATTTTCTTTATTAACGAACATAATTTTCTTCTATTATAAGATTGTGTTACAAATTATTTTGGAACGATGAGTCATTTATAGTCTATTTTATGCATAAAATTAGTTGGTAAATAATAGTCATATAAATGAATTATAATTCACATGCATCGACAAATACAGGGTTAAATATTTCCGGGAGGGGGGGATCAAATGAAAATACTGAGTTTTTGTTGTAAACAATTCTTTTATTGATGATGTTCTTTTTAAAAATACTTTATTGCTTTTTTCGGGGTGCGTCCGATGCACCCCTTAAAATATTGTAATCTTCTTTACACTTTCAACACTCTTCTTACGACTGTGATCAAGGTCATTTACACTGTTACAACAGCGATCACGGCTTCCGCGTGCCGGGACTGAAACTTGTTCTGCAAGTATCTCTTGTCAATCATAGCTAAGATGACAACCGACAATAACGATTGAATTTTAATTTGTGAAATTAAACGGTTTCATTAGTTTTTAATGGGTATAGATAAATACCCGTGGATTTTATTTCTTTAATTTATCCGATTGTCTGTAAACAGAGAATTAATTTGCTAGTGCATTCGTAAATAAAATAAATCCTGAATAATCATATACATGTATTAGTTGTTTTATTAATCACGCAGTTCTAGAGCATATTTATTTTTAGTTTTTAGGACATTGGACATGTATACATATATATTGAATGTATTGTTAAGAGCCGTGACTATTGATTACATAAATTATTGATTTTTTTTTTCTGTGTGTGTGTATTGACGCGGTTTGAAATCAGGGGTTTTAAAAGGTGGTGGGTATAATATAGTTTTTATTTGAGAAACCTATGCCTCAAAAGAGAACTAAATAATTACAATACCTATCCCCCGGCTTCTCTACCATATAAAATTTTAATGATTAATTAAAGTTTAACTCTGAAATGAAACGATATATTTACCATTTTGAATAAAGTGTATTTAATGAATTACATGTATCGGGTCCCGCTGGAGATATGGATATCCTTTTTTTCTAAGAACGGGCACTTGTTTCTATAATATTTTTTTTTCCCGATGGTATACTTACTGAAACAAGTGCCCGTTATATTTAGTCATGTACAGATTTGAAGATACAACAGTAAGATCTCGGTAATCTACACACCCCCCCCCCTTCCTGCACAATGTTCCTGTTAGATGCAGTTTACATATTACCTTTGCAAATTATAAACAGAACCTAATTTTATCAAATGAAATTATTATTTTTTTTACTAAATCAAAAAATGTATAAATCAATCAATAATTTAAAAAAGGAAAAGAAAATCAATATGTTTACAGAAATCATACGCAATTGAATCATTTTTTTTTTTCAAATCAATAACTGAGTTTATTTGTAAGTAATAAAACGACTATTTAATATCAAACTATAATTGGAAAAACATTAAATGCTGTGAAAGATTATGAATTACAAATATAATATTTTTTTCCAGTGCGTAATTTAGAGTCTAGTGAAAAAAGGTACGTACACAGACGATAATAAGTATTTCACTGGGCGGGTCACATACTCACTGACAACTATTTATTAATTACAACTGAACATTGAGTATTTTATCTGTTGATATAGTGCTGGTGTAGAGAGTTTTAATCTTAACTTAATCTGAATGATTGCAATTCTTAACTAATCTTTGATTAATCCGTAATAATTGAAATAAAGTCCGAGAGATTCCGAATAGAAAACCCAGATCGAGGCCAAAGCGTGCGAGAATCGTGTACAAAGCGTGTGAGAAACGTGTACAAAGCGTTTCGTGCAGGCTTTCGTGTAAACCGTGCAGCCTTTCGTGCAAAGCGTTTCGTGTAAACCGTGTAGCGTTTCGTGCAAAGCGTTTCGTGTAAACCGTGCAGCGTTTCGTGCGAACCGTGTAGCGAGCGTGTACCGTTCGTGCAGCGTGCGTGTGGGGTAGTAGCACGTTTCAGGGTCTGTAGGTAGGGAGGTAAAATTAGAGACTCTGAGTTGGTAATGGATTTACCTCCCTTCCATTATATTGCATACTTATGTTAAATCAAATTAATACTGTAAGAAATGAATTTCTTTATATCTATATAGTATTCATAAATTTGACCTTGTAAGTTTTACTTCTGTTATTATATGTATCTTTATTGAAGCGTATTGTCATATATTTTCTAAGCATTCTGCGAAATGCTATTTTCGAAAGCTAATATATTTATTCATAATGTTATACTTGCAAAGGAGCTTAGTGAGGTTCCCACCTTTGGCCGTTGGCGGCTTGTAAGTAATTCTTTTTAATCTAGACTAAGATCTGAAAAATGTTTTTTTTAATACAGAAAGGTTACTTTTAGCCTCTTTTTTACCCTCAAACTACCCTAAAACCAAGAGACATTCATGTTGAAGTCGAACTGTAGATCATTAGATTAATTTGTACAGAATCTGTCATTGTTTTAAGGTATTTATATCTCCAAGTTGATTCTATACACAAGAGCAGACTACACTACTTACAACAAAGAAATTTTAAAACGAGACAAGCTATAGACAAACAAGTTGATGGAACAAGGATGTCAACTGTTGTTTAAAGAAATCATTTGGCAAATTCTATGGTCGATACAATGAACTTGTCAGCAAATACAATTTATCTGTAAGTCAAAATATAAATGTCGTTTTTCATACTAATTGTAAGACCATTCTTTAAACATTAAATTGTCTACGGATTTTCCGTTTGCCCAATAATGACAATGAGGACACGGTGGATGTGTTCGGTCGGTAGAGAATGCTTACTCCTCCATGACACCTGATCCCAATTCTGAAGTTTTTAGAGGTTTTGTTTGTTGTGCTCCAAATTTCTATTGTTTCAAAGGACAAATCCGATTTATTATTGTTCGTTATCTTCATTTATATTTTCACTAAGTAAAAAGAACGGTACAATGTAGCATTTAAAATCAAATTAAATAACAAGGATTCACAACCCAATGTCCCAGACAATACTGTCTTGCAGTGACTAGGTCAACAGCTTATCTTCATAATCGTGATGTTTGGTGTTAGTAAATTCCATCGTTATATTTCACTGATCCTTCTTTTTAAAACACCTTCGAAGTCTCACTATTGCCTGAAAGGAATGACAAATATGTTATACGAGGGAATGTATACGTGGTGTTAGAAAAATGTTTCTTCTCAAGCAAAATTTAAAGACGTAAAGTAGAGGAGGAATATAAAACAAAAGGTACTTAGACTTGATTAAATATGTAAATGTCAAAATTAATAGAAGTATTATTTCAGAAGCAGATTTCAGAACCATGCATTGTTTTTCCCTTTTAAAGGCTTGAGAAACCAAATGCACATTGTAGAAAAAAAAATATAAGAGATGAGGGTATAATTATAATTCTATAATCCTAAACATTATTTTCTTGATAAATAGAAAAAAGATAAACAATGTTAAGAATGAACCCTTTTTCCTGCTGTTGTTATTAAGACTTAAGCTATAAGCATTAGCGGATGAGAAAAAGATATTCCTTCATAATCTGAATTACCATTGCCTAGGTATGCTTTTTTTTGTTGTTGTTGTTGTTGTTGTTGTTCAGTCGATTTATCAATGTACTCACGATATTTCAACTTTCTATTTATTAACTCTTCTTTTAAAGAAGTGTTGGCCTTTACTTAAAAGGAGAGAAAAATCTTGAATCTTTCACTCAAGGAAGAATTGTTATTTAAAAATTTCCACTGATTCCGAAGAAATCAAACATGTATAAAGATTACAACTTTGCACTATTTCGGAAAAAAAAATGGGCATAAGATGTAATAAAATGTTGACATCTATACGTACTTGTTTTTATTAAGCCTATCTTGACTGTACATTGCTTTTAATAAATTTCTTGAAGATAATTCCAAATTACACAAGTTAATCAGAATGCAATAAACCGATCCCCTCCACTAGAATTGCAAACAGATGTCTCACCTGGCAAAGGTCAGTCCAGATTATGTTGAAAACATGATCTTTTATGGCACGATCACTTCCTGAATCATGGTAGTACTTGTTTCTATATAAACGAATCCTCTCTATGTCGTCACTCTCTGTAATGTGCTCTACTTTAGGTTCCTTTCCCCATCCACTCCCGGGGGGAGCAATGTCAGAGAAATTCCTCAACAATTTATACATGATGGTAATGTCCATAGATAAAGATGTAACACTGTAAGATCCACCTTAAAAAAAAACAAAAATAATTATTGCAACATCTAAAACTATGTATACTAATTTGCACAGCCTAATCAATCTTTGAAAAAATTATAAGTTTCTCCTTTCGTTTCTTCAAGTTAGTTTGCTTGCTTTTGATGAATTATATATACATTTAAAAACAGAATTGATTTACTTACTATGAAAATTTGTTTAAATAATTAGAAATTATTTTAAATCCCTGGGGTTGGGGGTTAAATTTAATCATTAAAATTCAGCAGATGAATCTATGGGTTGGAAAACGTTAAAATTCTTTGCAAAAAATGTTCAAAAGACGAACTTGATGATGATTTCTTTAATTACAGTAATGTCTCACCATTTTAATACAACGAATGTTTGAAATGATCAAGTTATCTAGTAAAGAACCAAAATCCGGTAGAAAGGTGATGGGAATAAATGCACTTCTCCGAAAGTACCTGTAGCCAAAAATGAATGAGATACTATGGGTACCATTTCCAGTAAAGAGTAACTACATGTATACAACTGTATCGATGAGATGTAATCCCTTTCTTTTGAACATGAATTCATGCTATGAACATATACTGTAGTCCTATGGGAAACAAATATTAAGCAAATGGCAAGTACCTTGAGGAGGGAACAGAATCTCTAGTTGAGGTGGTTGGAATCGAAACTGTCCTTTTCTCATGTCTGTTTCATTGTCTTTCAGAGTCTTTTCTAAATGCTCTTTTGGAAAGAATTTATCAAAGCAGATTCGTATAGCGTCAACTCCAATGTGCAACAACTTCATGATTTTGTCGAAATTTTCACTGGAATTATCTATTTGGGGAATTAAAGTAGCATGAGGTATCTAATGTGATAGTTTTTCCTTAAAAAAGAAAACAATTAGGATTGCCATTCATAAAAAAAATAAGAAAATGAATTATTCAACCTGAAAAGACAAAAAAGTTTGATTAAGAAAGCATTATATCTTATTTAAATGAATTTCAGTTAAGTGCATCAAGATTGCAAAAGCTGTAATAAAAAAGATACCTGTAGAAGGTAATTCGATAGATGTAGCGCCCTTCATGGCCTCTGTCAATGTTGTGTCCTCATTTCCACTCTTGACTTTATTAATCTTGGACTCCTCCTCAGGAACCTTATATAATAAAAATATTGAAACTAATTCAAGATTCTACTACAAAGACAAACATTTCAATTTTAGATTTTAATTCTGTTTGCATAACAAGCATTCCCGTGGAATCATCATTGTTTGTTGGTGCCAAATGTTTCTGGGTTTTCTTTAGTTTTCATTACCCATGAAATTATATCCTCAAGAACAAAACTTTGTCTTTATATTAGTCAGCTGAAGTTTGCGTACATGTGCATGAATATAAACGTTACCCACGAAATTACGTCACCACGAAAGAGTGAAATTTTGGTTACCCACAAACATTGACCTTACCAGTACATTTAACAAGGATTCCACTGTGTTATAATTATTTGAACTGCCAAGTTCATGTACATATACCAGAGTACCTGTTTCCAAAATTTTGTAATATATTGTGTGTCGATGCAATGTTTTTCATTCGCCGGACAGGACGGACACTGAAAAGTTGCTCTTATAAACTTAGATTCACTTATGACCGCGCTCTCCTTGCTGTCACAAAATCCTGTTGGTTTACATTTGAACGCAACGTGAAATTCTGAGTTTTTCTGGAATGTGTTGGAAAGGTTGTGTAACATACGCTCAATGTTTTCTCTAATCTGAAGACATTTTGAAACATCAACTTCTCCAACTGCAACAAAAACTTGCAATTGAATTTCTTTTTGAGTCATTCCAAGCATGATGTTATGGTGCAAATCATGAAACACGAAAATAGCTGCAGTCTGGTAAATACACCCTTGATCGTTATCAGCCAAAACCTCCCAAGGAATCTGCATGCAAGTTGCTACGAGGCGATGGAAAATTCCCGCAGGAAGAAAATCAAATGTGTAGCAAAGTACGGATGAGGCAGGGTATGATGAAAAGTAATTTACAGGAAATGGTGTTTTGTTCATACATGGAACATACCACTTTTCTTCATTCATTTTAGCTAAGAGTCCTAGTTTCTCCATGTAAAGCATGATGTTGTCTTTGTGTTCAATGTAACCATTGTTGTTCATTTTCCATATAGCAAACAACAATGTGTCATATAATTCTCCAGTTTCATTGAATTTGTCCCACTCTGAGGCAAATGCATATAAATCCTCTTTTGCGTGGTTTTTATCTGTTATGATATTTTTAAATGCATCAGCAAACCACTGTACATCAAGGATAATTACTTCACTGAGGAATTCTTGATCAAAGTATACAATTGCTCTGATGTCATGAAAAAACTGCAGCATGACATTAATATCATCATTTGTTTGGAGCTTTATCCCCAGTGGTAATGCTTTGTTGAATGCCTGAAGCTCACCTTTGCTCAAAATCTTGAGGTTTTTCTTTTCCTGAAAGAACTTTTCAAACATAACCCATGATTGTGGAAGCTCTTCTCCCCAGTGATCAAGTAATTGAACAACATCAACAATTGACAGTCTTATTTTTTCGACACTTTCATTTTCGTTGAATCCAATTGCAAACTGCTTCTGTACATCAAGATGTTTGTGCAAAGCCTTTTCCTTCATGGATAGAGTCTTCCATATTTCACGAAAAAACAAGCCTCTCTCCTAACCAAGAGAAAGAGAAACCTTATTTTATTCCATGCAATCTTTGAAGTAAGAAATCAAAGAAATAGAAAAACATTGTGAAATAAATGTCCTGCTTATGAAATATGTTCTCTATAGTCTGTTCAGACAGACTTTATTAAGTAGAAACTTGACTATACATGTTACAGTTGACAGAGTGAAAATCCATGCCAAGGTTAAAACAGAAGTTTGTTAATATTTATGAAATATAGATGCAATCTTCACAAACAAGAGAAATTTAAATTAATGAACTGGTTATTTCATTACAAATAGATGATACCAATTAGATACAGCATTAATTTGATATACATCTCCCTTCTCTCTCTCTCTCTCTCTCTCTCTCTCTCTCTCTCTCTCTCGTATTAAGGCCTAGAATCGTTCTTTAATGAATTGTACAACCCTTTCACTTCTTATCTATATCCCATAAACTTAGATAAAGCCTTGGAATTAAAAAAAAAGATCCTTGTAACCTATTTTTGGCGAACATACTCTGAGGACCAAAGATGCATCAACTGACAAAATTTGATATTACTAAGCTTCTTGTTATTCGAAATATATAAAGATAAAGCCTTCAAATTCAAAATGTTGGTCACCATGACCTACTTTTTAGTTTACATACTTCGTATCTATCTATCTATCTATCTATCTATCTATCTATCTATCTATCTATCTATCTATCTATATCTATATATATATATATATATATATATATATATATATATATATATATATATATATATATATATATATATATATATATATATGAAATTCCAAAAGTAGGTCACGATAGCTTACTTTTGGTTGATACACTCCGGGGACCCAAGATGCATCAACAGACACATTTTGATGATTCTGGGCCTTTTATAATCCAAAATATTCAGACATGTCTTTGAAATACCAAAACTAGGTCACAGTGACCTACTTTTTAGTTGATCCATTCCGAGGACTCAAAATACATTTACTCACAATGTTGGATGATTTTAGGCCAATTAGTATCTGAAATATTTAAATATATACATGAAATTTCAAACGTAGGTCACTGTGATCTAATATTTGGCTAACATTCCCTGAGGACCCAAGATGCATGAACTGACAAAGTTTTATGATTCGTCTTTTTTAAGCCAAAATATTTAGATATGGCCATGAAATTCCAAAAGTATGTCGCATGGACATACTTTTTAGTTCACATTCTCGAGGGACCCAAGATGCATTAACTCACACAGTTTGATGACTCTAGGCCAATTAGTATCAAAAATATTTAAATATATACATGAAATTCCAACTGAAAAGATTTGATGATCCTAGGCTTCACACTGTCCAAAGTATGCATATAAAACAATTTGAAAATGAATGCCTGTAGAATTGAAAAGGAAGACCTTCTTTTTGACATACATGTATATGTTTCAAGGCCCCAAGATGCATCAACTTATACAGTTTTATTCTTAACTTCTTTGTAATCTGAATTAATGACATTAAATATTTTGAAAATGATATGTCATGAAATTATGAAAGTACGTCATTGTGACCTACTTTTTGATTGACAAACTTTAAAGGCCAATGTTGCATACGCAGCTATGTTAAGGCTGTCCGAAGACTTAATATACATTAAACTATACATTTTATTTTGAGGTAGATTTTAATTTCAATTTGTGATCTATGTATGAATTTGCAGTCAACTTGTAATGAGAGTGTAATCAGGTATTAAAATAATGCGTATTTGTTATGTCACATGACGTTGTTGATCATGTGATGGAGACTTATAAATTCCTAAATGTTGCATAAAAATCGCATCAGCACAAGTGCAAAACAACATTATTGAGAAAAAATTGTCACATAAGTCAATTTATCGTAATCTTTGGTACATAAAAAGTGCTGGGGGCAGGTCTGAATTTTATTTGTTGAGATAATATTCCAAGAGAAATTCAACTTACCCATATACAGGGGGGCATTTTCCAATCTTTATCGCAATTTGTACAAAACCGAATAAATTACATACAATCCCCCAGCAAATTCAGTTAGATGACATACTTCTCTAGTAGATTCGCACAGAATATCTTCAATGTATCCTTATTAATCACTTGTGCCAAATATATACACGATTTATAAATTTTAACTCTGTCCATGGACGTGTAAGGGGGAGCGTTTCACGGTCAATATTTTGTTATTGTTTGAAAAGATGTATATCGGACAAGTTAAAGGAATCACGATCTTAAATTGCAAGCGTTCAGCATCATAACAGCACACTTAAGCTTAAAGAGCAATACAGACTCTTGAATAAAAAAAAAAAGATCTTTACATGACACGTTAAAGGAATGTTATAGTTATGACACTTTCCTCGTCGAGTCAGCTCAAGTATATGCAGTGCATTGACGTCATATGTTATTATGACGTCATATCTAGGTAGTTCGGAGAAGTTACTTCAGTTGGAACAGTTTGATATTCTACGGACAGCCTTATCCTAGCCGCGTAAACTGACAAGTTTTGATGATCATAGGCTTCAAAATGTCCAAGATATGTATGAAAAGCAAACTGAAAATAAAGACCTGCAAAGTTCAAAAACAGGGTCACCATGAACGAATGAACATGATTGATTGATTGATTGTATATTGTTTTACGTCCCATTCGAGAATTTTTCACTCATATAGAGACGTCACCATATACCGATGAAGGGCTTCAAATTTTGACCTTTACTCGGCACTTAGGGCCATTGAGCAGTGAGGGAACTTTATCGTGCCAACGCCTGCCGTGACACGGGGCCTCGGTTTTTAAGGTCTCATTCGAAGGACCCGCAACTTTCACTTCAAAGTACCGAGCGCATGGCGAAGGAACAGTTGCTACCTATTTTTTATCGACTTAGGTCTGTCGCGGCCGAGATTCGAACTCACGACCTCCCGATCACGGAGCAAGCGCTCTACCGACTGAGCTACCGTGAACGGTACCAATGAACATGTTATGAGATCCTAAGATGCATCAGCTGACAAGATGTGATGATCCTGGTCCTTAAAATTTTAACAAAATATAATTTTAGGTTCACTTTGAAGTGAGCTTCGGACAAAGCCCTTTGCCTCAGGATGATATCCAGTCTACAACATATCCCAATCCTTTTTATACGCTTGGTGACATCTGCTTGGTAGTTCTTGAGAAGAACATTTTATTACAACAACTGCTTTGTTTTAATCATATTTATCTCCCCTTGTTTAAGGACCACTTCCCGAATTTTAATACTAAATGAAAGCCCTTTTGCCAAGCATGCCTTGTGAAAAACTGGACAAAAATAGACCAATGGGTTTTTGAGATATGGCCCATATTCAAAGACGTTTTCGCACAAATGGCCAAAGCATTAGCTCTTTAATTTGAGTCTTTGGCTCTGAAGAGCTAAAACTAAATAAAAGTAATTATCTGAATGTTCTATGCAGGGAACTTGCAAGATTAGATAGGTAATTTCAGCCATGCAAAGAAAAAAAAAATGGTGACCATCTGAAAAAAAAAAACGATTGAGAGAGAGAAAAAGGCACAAATATGCCCTAATTTTCCTTCAATTAATCGTAGGCTTTCAATAAATCTCATTATATCTTGATTACCAGATTAAAATCTGGATTTCTTTTTTTCTAACATGAATTGCTAATTTTTACCGATTACAGAAATAATATATTCAAAGCTCATTCCCCATCAGTTTTTTTGTTGTTTTTTTTATGATATCATGGTTTCCAGTTGACTACCGATTAATCAATTTATTAATTAAAGTAAGACTTTTTCTTAGCAAGTACCTCTTCTGTTTTATTCTCACTGTGTGTACCGACCAGGATGACTGGGGCCTTATCACTGCTGTATTGATGAATGGATTTCATCCAGAACTGTAGATAATCTGAATAGTGAAAAGCATTCAATGTTTGAGTATACAAATGAAATTTTCTTTTTGGTAGCTTGCAGTAAATGATATTTTCACAAAAGGTTAACATGCATTCTACTTATTCCAAAATTCAGTTTAGATATTCCTCATGTTTCAATACACAGGACCAGGCTCCAAAGAAAAAGACGAGACAAGCTATTGACAAACAAGTTAATGAAACAAGAATATCAACAGTCGCGTCAAATTTCATCAGTTCTACGGTCGATATGGTCAGCAAATCCAACTTATCATTAAGTCGAATGATTTCTGACATTTTTAATACTAATTTTAAGGCTATTGAATTGTCTAATAATTTTTCTGGTTGCTCGATCATGATAATGAACACACTGCCGTTGTGATAGGTAGACAGGGGATGCTTACTCCTCAATGGCACCTGATCCAACTTCTGATGCTTTCAGATGTCCGTGTTTGCTCTGCTCCAAATTGTTTCAATGGAGATTGTTTACTGTTCGTTATCTTCATATTTCACGCTTAATTGTTCTTAACTCGTCTTTGAATAAATGAAACATATATTTATCGGATTAACAAGAATTAAGTTTGGTAGCAAACGATTAATTTTATCTATAAAAACATTAACTAAACTAGATTTTATAATCATGTAAAAAATTACTTGGTTCAATCATAATTTTTTTTAATCAGGGGCAAGAATACAAATTATGCGTCTTTCTCTCTTTCTTTGTATTTCACTCTCTCCTTGTCTACTTTTTTTATGAGAGGCTATAAATCAGTTTTAGACAATCTTACTATTAAATATGATTC